TTTTTATAATTATTCTTAAAATATCGAGTCCAAATATTTTTGAACCAAACTGAATGATGACCTTTCAGATATGAACGCTTGCTCCAACAATTTAATTTGATTGTATTTCTTTTCTAAACATTGCGAAGCAACATTAAATTTGAAATCTGGTTTGATTCAGTTTGACGGCAACCATGACAATCTGATATGCTTTTCAATGATGAGTAGAAAGACACATAATCAAAGCAAATTATTTAATCTCCCAGTTTATGTTATTTGTTGTGTGTGCTGCTTAAGGTGACATCCTAATGTTATGCGCAATGAATAATCTTTCCATGTGTGTTCTGTGCTTCAGCATCCTTTCGTCAGTTCGGTGAAGACCAACCGTCCGCTGAGAGAGCTGGTGGCCGAGGCCAAAGCCGAGGTGATGGAGGAGATCGAGGACAATCATGAAGAAGCAGAAGACCAGGACCCTGCTGACCTCTCACCTGTACGGCTCGGACATCTCTCACCCATCACACATCTCTCAGTATACACATGCACAAATAATGCACTGCTCATGGAAAAGTGCTCGGAGCGTAAAGAGAGACAGACACATCTGTTTAGCGCTTGTTAATGAATGGAAAGTTTATTCTGCGATTCGGTTCAGGTGTGTCTATGAAAGACAAAAGCAGCACCGCACAACATGCTTAGAACTCAATGAATTATGCAGATATGTGCTCATTTTGGTTGTGTAGCATTTACCATTGCTGCAGTGTATATGATGTATACAGTAAGCACATTTTTGTACACAAAATACCTGGATGATCATTGCCAAAATTAGATGTATGCACCAGAGCAGGGAATGCTGTATCCCACAATGCAATGCATTGATGAATTAATTATAGCCAAAACTCATGTGCACACATGTGCTTTTTTTTTTCTATTCGTCATCCTATCCTCTCAAAATGCATGCGAAAAACAGAAAATTGAACCTTATCCAAGATCAGATGAGATGTTGTATGGCCATAAGCTACTGTTTCACTTAATATAAAAAAAAAGGTCTTACAAAGTCTTAATTCACTCTTCCTCAAAATAATGCCTTAAAAAAGTCTTTAATTGAAGCAAAAAGTCATGATGGCAATACGTTTTTTATTAAGAGAACATACTGATATATTGACATATTATGTTCCCTTCAGTTTATTCCTTAGATTTTCTTTACTTGGTCTTAAAAAGGTCTAAAATCTTACATTTGTAGGAGCCCTCTTGCAGGGTTGCCAGGTCTGCAAAACAAAACTAAAACTAAAAACTAGCCCAATTGCATTTTTTCCCACGGTTTTCCCCTCCGTCCCCTCAGTCGAAATAGTGCTCCGGGTCGTTTTAAAGGTAGGGTAAGTGATTTCTGGTAGCCAATGTTGACATTTGAAATCACCAAAACAAACACGCCCCTACCCCAAAAGGGTCTCGCCCCTATTTTGATAGCTCCGCCCCACACATAGGTACGCAACCCAGGCAACGATTAGTTCTGTGAAACAAAGCAAAACCAATGTTATACCTTGTCTACACCGGACGCGAGTGACGCGACAAAATACTATCGAACTCATTATAATCAGTGATGCTGTCTACACCATAGATATATATACATGTGTGTGTGTATATATATATATATATATATATATACTCGGACTGAACACTCTCTCCTTCACATCACGAGTAGACACACCCCTTACTGCTGATTGGCTACAAGTTTGTTTTGCTAGTCGGCCTGAATCAGTTTTCTAAAGCGTTTTTGAAAAATCGCTTACCCCACCTTTAATCCACGACTTAAAAAAAACCCCCGCGGCAGCGGTGTAAAAGTAGCATGATTCCCGCTGTAAAACCAAGGACTTGGCAACACTGCCCTCCAGTTTCCCTCGATGTACCATTATAGCACAATGTAGTTGTGACGTCACTTCCGCTCATGTAATCTGACTGTAACAGGACTTTCACATTAGCGTCTCCATTTAAAGATCTCTTCGAGGCCGTTTGCAGTAAATGTGTTGACATGGCACGCTCCGGAATAACCCTTAATACACTTCCTCCTCCGCTTCTCATCTGGCCTTCATGTAAAGAATGAAACAAAAGACAAGCCGTCCACATTTCTTTAGAGTTAAATAAAGCACAGGACAATTGGTTCCTCGTTTTGGCAAGGAAACCGTTATAAGGGTGAAGGCCTGCAGCTGTGCACGAGTTTACTGACAGTATCTGGCCTGTCTTTATTAACAGCAGTGCATCATCTCTATGTGATTTCTCAGTCAGTTTTAGTACAGGCACAACCGTAGCATTGCCGGTTTACTCTGACAAACCATAGTAAACCTGTGAAGCTTGGCCTTCAAGTGTGACAGTTGCAGTGCTTCACAATAATTCAATTCGGTTCAATTCAAGTGTATTTGTATAGCGCTTTTCACGATGCAAATCGCTGCAAAGCAGCTTTACAGAAAATTAAAGTTTCTACATTATATTTAATAATAGCTTATCTCAAGTTGATGTCCATACGGCAGAAATGCACGGTAAAAATCAAGCAGTTAGTTAATGTCATGTAATCAAACAGACGGCGAACACTATTAACAGCAATGATTATATGCACTACTGACAGAGTGGTTTATTTTGAAGATACAGTCAAACCAAAAATTATTCAGACACCAGATATATTTTTGATATTTTTTTATTAGTGGGTACAGGAAACTATAGTTCATAAATGTAAGTGAGGATAGCAAAATAAAGTGAACCGTGACGTATAATACCCAAAAATTCTTCATACAGTGTACTTCCAGTAAAATTTGGGAGCAAAAATTATTCAGACACTTTGACCTGAGCATGTTTTTCTTTAGTTGCTAATGATGCAAGTAAAGTTGCAACCTTTTTGCACCCCAGACTGAACAAAACGAAGCATTGCTTGGTAATACCTAAATTGGTGTTATCTAATTGTGTGCTTAAATTTAACAGCTGACAGCTGTTCATTACAGTCCTTTCTATCAAAGTTATCTGACATTATCAAGATGAAGTTGTTCTGACACCGTTTAACTCTGAGTTCTTGTCATGTTTTAGTACCATTTTCTGAACTGTGATAGTGTGAGAAATGTTGAAGACGTCTGAATACATTTTGGTTTGACTGCAAGAATGTAATTCAATCATAACAACTCTCTGAAGATTTTAGCATGGTGATGGATATGACAATGTTAATGTATTTGGTCTAGGCAGAATAGATCTGCTGCTGCTGTTGGTTATTGCTGTAGTTGTAGATTATTGCTGCTGCTGCAAGCAAGTACAGGAGCTTGCTACTGCCTGCCAATGCATACGGCGATACGGTGCCGAGAGTATTTAAGACATGCTGCTGCTGCACAAATAGCATATAAAATAACCCGTAGCAGATCTATACAGGTGGAGCTGGGGAAGGTGGAGGTTTCAGAGAACTCTGAAAGCACGCTGCAGGAATCTCTAGTGAATGCTAGCCAGCTATATAAATTCATGGCCGTGAGCTCATTGGCTGCATATGCAGCATGAACCAATCAGCTTGTGCCAAGTCGTTTAACTCTCTGAATATCATTAGTTATGTTAACACCCCATCAGCCTGCGCCATCTAGAGTTTCATGACTAAACTATATATTTGTCAGGCTTTTATGTCACGCAAGCCGCTTTCTGTCTGTGTTCTTTCTAGGCGCCCATCAAAGACCCATCAGAAACCAGTGAGACTAGTTTATATGGGGACCATCGCCACAATGGAGCTCCAATGGAGCTCGAGGAGGAGCCCAGGACCCCTGTGTCCACCGAAAGCCCTTTGAAAGAGCAGGACGATCTCAGCGACAGGTTTCCAGAGGAGGATCACGACAAACCTGAGAGCGAGGCGTCAGGCAAGACCTCCAGCTCGGACTCCGGCATCGAGGATGGAAAAAGCACACCCACCTCCGAGGAGGACCCCAAGGCGGTCGAGAGCTCAGAACCAGAGCTGCATTTGCTGGGAACACCAGAACCTTCAGAGTCATCCGGATCGTCCTCAGAAACCACGGAGCAACCCTCAGAGAAACCGGAGGAGGAGGACGCTCACGGCGCAAGGGAAATGCCTAGCCATGGCATTCTGAACCGAATCGAGTCCAAAGAGCCGAGCAATCGCATGTCTGGGATGAGCGACAGGTCCTCACTGGCTGGAGACGATGTGGAAAGGTTATCAAAACGATACTCTGATGTGACGAGTGAGAACATGGACATCAGCTTGAACCTGTCCGGTGATATGTCTGTCAACAAAGACTTGGGCACCATCTCTTTACGGGTGAGTCTGTGTTTGAGGCATGTTTTCATTTACAGTGTTTGCCATAATGATTAGAACACTAGTATAGGAAATATCATTTAAATTTCCAAACATTCATTGTGCCATTAATTGTAATAATGCAGCGAGATTTTTGATGTGATCTGATCATCATCAGTCTGTCTGGAGTCACATGAAGAAACAGAACAAACTGAGACCGACTCAATCCAGAAGAACTGACGCTTCAAGAAACCTCCAGCACTGTTAAAAGTTTAGGCACTTGTGTAAAAATGCTGTAAAATGAGGATGCCGTCATACACAGATTTTCTTGATCAATGAACTTCTCTTAACTAAATGAAATCAGCATTTGGTGTGAGCATCCTCTGTGTTTAAAGCAGCTTTTGCCCTCGGTGCACTTGAGCAGAGTTTCTCAGGAGCTTTCTTGAAGCGTCAGTTCTTCTGGATTGAGTCGGTCTCAGTTTGTTCTGTTTCTTCATGTGACTCCAGACAGACTGATGATGATCAGATCAGATCTCTGTGTTTTTTCTAAAACAGGTGAAGAGTAGGTTTTCTCACTAGATGGAAGCAAGCTGATTATAGTCAGCCTTCTCTAGTTATTTATTTTATTATTTAATACATATTTTAGTTAAGTGCTTGAATTGTAAATATGCATTTATTCTTTTTTTTTTTGCTATATTTTTTTATCAAATAAATGCAGCCGATGCAAATGATGAGCAGACGAGACTTCTTTAAAAAAAACATAAAAAATCTTGCTGATCCCCATATATATATATATATTATCAACATATTCCAGTGCACTGCCTTCCCTCATGGACTTGTATTGTGCTCCACTGTAATCTTCAGAAACTGGTTTTGAACCCGGAACATTACTTTAAATGAAGTCATTGATTTGTTGCATATTTCGAGCGGCTGGTCTGTGAAGCTGGCGTCAGATTTTCCATGCATTTCTCCCAAACGCTCTTTGCTCATTGTGCATCAGTCTCTGTGTGATGATCGTTGAGTTCTGCTCTTTGTTCAGGGCGGCAGAGAACAGCCTTGTTTCTCATTTCTGCCATATTTCCAGCATGATTCAGACGCTGAGCTCTCTCTTGTCCTCTTGCAGCATTAGAAAGCAAATGTTGACGCATGCACACTGCATTTCATGGAAACTGTGGCTTTGTCGCGCTGAAACCACATCACAGGACGAGTGCGGCATACAAATGACAAACTTGTGCTGTCAGTGTTTTTAGAGAGGATGGGAGTGTTTGACACATTTTAAATAGTCACAGTTTATATATGATTTATTTTTCTCTCTCTGTTGTTGTTGTTGAGAATGTTCTGCTCATGAGCTGCTGGCACTTCCTGTCAGAACTGCTTCCTGTACACACCCTTCGCATGGTTTTGCTTCGTCATTTCTTCTTTCTTGCTCCAGCTCAACCATTCATTATGCCTCTGGGTCTATAAATCAGTGCTATTTTTAGTATATGTTTGCATGTATGTATATTAATATATATGTGTACACTAATGTTTCTAAAGTTTGGAATTAAATTGTTTTTTTTTGTTTTTTTTTTAAGAAGTCTCTTTTGCTCATCAAGGGTGCATTTATTTGATAAAAAATACAGAAAAAAAATGTAAAATTCTGAAATATTATTCAAATTTAAAATAACAGTTTTCTATTTCAGTATACTTTGAAATGTAATGTATTTCTGTGATGCGCAGCTGTATTTTCAGCATCATTACTGCAGTCTTCAGTGTCACATGATCTTCAGAAATCAGTATAATATGCTGATTTATTACCAATGATGCGAACCGTTTTTTGTTGTTTATTTATAATTTTTTTGGAACCTGTTTTTTTTTGTTTTTTTTTCAGGATTCTTTGAACAATAAAAAGTTAAAAAGCGCATCATTTATTCTAAATACAAATCTTTTCAAACAATATAAGACTTTAATATCACTTTTTTCTATCAGTATAACATCCTTTCTATATAAAATCATTAATTATTATTATTTTTTTTTAAGTAAGAAAACATTTACTGACCCCAAACTTTTGAATGGTAGTGTATATTGATAGTACACATTTCTATTTTAAATAAATGCTGTTCTTTTAAACTTTTATACTGTTTGACTAATAATGACAGTATTACTGTATTGTATTGTATTTTTTGATCAAATAAATGTGGCCTTGAAGAGCAAAAGTAAATAAATAAATTAAACTTACTGATCTCAAAATTTTTACATTAGTGTATATATATATATATTTTTTTTTTTTATTATTTAAACTTTTTTTTAACTTTGTAAATTTTAGTATATCAAGTTAAAATAAATAGGACTGTTGCATTTGCAACTACCTCAAGTGTGTTTAAGTTTTCATTTAACATAATGCATAATGCATTTATTTTAATGGTTTGTTTAATAATTTGCTCCCAAGTCCTTCTTCTGCATGCATTTTTTTTTTTTTTAACTCCACAGTTCCCTAAAATCCTGCTACCTACCACACCCATTACAATCTGTTTCCTCACTACCACTTTTCTCTCATTTATTTGTCCACCAGGACAACAAGAAGACGCTGAAACGCACGCGTAAGTTCCTGGTGGACGGTGTGGAGCTCAGCGTCACCACCTCCAAAATCATCACTGATGACGAGAAGAAAGATGAAGAAATGAGGTTCCTCAGGCAAGTCCACTCTCTTTAATCAAACTCCGTAGCATTTTTCCACTTGATCTTGCATCTCGGCCGCGTAAACAGACTATTTCAGTCCTCAGGTCCGAGATCTTGTCCTTTCCAAATGGGACATAAATACACAAGGGAAGCTTTGTGTAGAGCCAGAGGAGAGAGATCAGATCTTCTGAACTCTTGTGTTTCCAGCACACACTAACACTTCTGCCATCTACTGGTGTGATAGTGAACTCACATGTGATATTATATCCACAGCTTCATCTCAGTCTCACAGAAAACACGTCGTCCAGGTCGCATTTTACTCTAAAATCAAGATAAATATTGTTGAGTCATATGCACACACTGCCTTTCAAATGTTTGGGATCACAGTAAGATTTTTAATGTTTCGAAACAAGTCTCTTTTGCTCATCAAGGCTGCATTTATTTGATTAAAAATACAGAGAAAATTGTAATAATGTGAAATAATATTGCAATTTAAAATAACCGTTTTCTATTTTAATATACTTTAAACATAATTTATTCCTGTGATGCAAAGCTGATTTTTTTTTCTGGAACCTGTGATACTTTTTGAGGATTCTTTGATGGATAAAAAGTAACAAAAAAACAGCATTTATTCAAAATATAAATATTTTCTAAGAATATAAGTCTTTAGTATCAATTTAACACATCCTTGCCGATTAAAAGTATTAATTTCTTTCAAACAAAAAGAAAAAAATGACTGACCTCAAACTTTTGAACGGTAGTGTATATTAGAATATGTAGGAGTAGAAATAGAAATAAACATTACAGAAATAAATTATATTTTAAGGTATATTGAAATACAAAATGTAATTTTAAATTGTAAAAATATTTCACAATATTATTATTATTATTTTATTTTATTTTTTTGATCAAATAAATGCAGCCTTTATGAGCAAAAGAGACTTAAAAAAAAAAAAAAACATAAAAAGATCTTACCGATCCTAAACTTTTCAATGGCATATATTACATTATAAATGTATTATTATTTTTTTTAATAAATTGTATTCGACTATATTTGCATAAAGAAAAATAACTCATAACATTCGTCTATATAGACTTATATAATGTCTTTCTTTCTTTTGGTTTTGTGGTGAAATCTAACTGGGCCGTGGTCTTGACCGGCTTGAAGTTTAGCCCCACATAAAATATCTGTGTGGAACATTCCTCTGGTGCTCGGCTGTCAGTGAAGTCATGTAATGAAAGAGTTGGGGGTGTTTTCCCATGAATCCTCTGCCGTCTGTGGGCCGTGACAGTAGAAGAACAGAGCGTCGCTGCATTCTGAGCGTTCTTTGGTTGGCGGGAGACTTCATATGTGACCCTGGAGCACAAAACCAGTCATGAGGGTCATTGAGATTTATACATCATGAATAGATAGGCTTTCCATGTATGCTTGGTTTGTTAGGATCGGACCATATTTGGCTGAGATGCAACTATTTGTAAATCTGGAATCTGAGGGTGCAAAAAAATCTAAATATTGAGAAAATCATCTTTAAAGTTGTCCAAATGAAGTTCTTAGCAATGCATATTACTAATCAAACATTAAGTTTTGATATATTTATGGTAGGAACTTTACAAAATATCTTCAAGGAACATGATCTTTACTTAGTGTTTTCTGAGACATTATTTCTGGGAGAAGAGACGATATTATTAATATGTGACCCTGGAGCACAAAACCAGTCATGAGGGTCATTGAGATTTATACATCATGAATAGATAGGCTTTCCATGTATGCTTGGTTTGTTAGGATCGGACCATATTTGGCTGAGATGCAACTATTTGTAAATCTGGAATCTGAGGGTGCAAAAAAATCTAAATATTGAGAAAATCATCTTTAAAGTTGTCCAAATGAAGTTCTTAGCAATGCATATTACTAATCAAACATTAAGTTTTGATATATTTATGGTAGGAACTTTACAAAATATCTTCAAGGAACATGATCTTTACTTAATATCCTAATGATTTTTGGCATAAAAGAGAAATGTATCATTTTGAGCCGTACAATGTATTGTTGGCTATTGCTACAAATATCCCCCAGCGACTTAACACTGCTTTTGTGCTCCAGAGTCACATATGTGTTGTTTCAAATGTTCGTCTTAAAGGGACAGTCACCCAAAAATGAGAATTGTCAACATTTACTCACCGTCCTGTCGTTCCAAACCTGTACGGCTGTCTGCAGAACACAAAAGAAGCAACTAAACCACATTGACTTCCATTGTATGGACATTTCAAAATATATGTCTGACAGAAGAAAGAATGTCATGCAATTTTGGGATTACAGGTTATTGTGTAACAGGTCATGAATGGTTCCTCACATGTGTTTGTTCATTGACACACGCAGGCGTCAGGAGCTTCGAGATCTGCGTCTGCTGCAGAAAGAGCAGCATCGCGCTCAGGCTTTGCTCAATCTGAAGCTGAAAGAGCAGCGGGAGCAGATGCAGCGCAGATTCGACCAGGAGATGAATGTGAGTCCCAGCGGTCTCTAGACAAAATGATATCTCTTCCCATCAAGGCTAGACACCACCCTCAGATCATCCCAGATTAGGATGAGTTTGTTTCTTCATCATATTTGGAGAAATGCAGCATTGCATTAGTGTCTCTGCAGTGAATGGGTGCCGTCAGAATGTCTCTGAAGTGTTTACTTGTGGATTATTGTGATGTTTTTATCAGCTGTTTGGACTCCCATTCTGACGGCACCCATTCACTATAAATAGTATTATACACTATAAATATTAAATGTTATATAAACCGGGTGATTGTTTTATTAATATAGACAGGAACAGAACTGGACAGTTTGTGTATGTAAGTGCTTGTTGCATAAGACAAAATCTATTATAATTGAAATCTAAACAACAGGTGTGTATTTTTGGATGTTTGTAGTCTAAAAGAAGATTGTAGCACATGACATTTCCAGTTCGGGAAACAAAACAAAAGCACTGGTCTGTAGTGTCTCGCCTTAATATAAGAAGTTAAATAAAGAGTGTGTTTTCTGAGACATTATTTCTGGGAGAAGAGACGATATTATTAATATGTGACCCTGGAGCACAAAACCAGTCGTAAAGGGTCAATTTTGTGAAATTGAGATTTATACATCATCTGATAGTTAATATTTAGTAAATAGTGAGAATTAGACTATTATGTAGTTGTATTATGTAGAAATAATTTATGTAGTTATCTATGATTTATTTGAAAGAATTAAAATAACCGTTTCGTGTCTCCTTGTATCATTCATTAACTTTGATTTAGGATTTAGAAAGTAATTCGTAATAAGTAATTAAATACTTTTTGGAGAGAGTGATTTGTACAGTAATCTAATTACACTGTTGAAGATGTAATTAGTAGCTAGTAATTAATTACTTTTTTAGAGTAACTTACCCAACACTGTCAGTAAAACATTAATTTTCCATAATAATACAAATATTATATATTATAATAATGAAATTAATTGAGAAATGCATTTAAGTGTGTAAATAATATTCTAGAACTGTATCTAAAATTTTAAAAAGTGGCAATAAATACTTTTTTTGTGAACGGTGAAGGCTTTGAAAGTGTTGAAACCTGGCATCAGTGTTTAATAATTTTTTTTTTAATTATTTATACATTTTTTTAGTGCGGTCAAATGATTAATCGTGATTAATCGCATCCAAAATAAAAGTTTTTGTTTGCATAATATATGTGTGTGTGCTGTGTATATTTATTATGCATATATAAATACACACACATGCATGTATATATTTTGAAAATATTTACATGTCTATATTTACATTCATATAATTTATATTATAAATATATTTAATATATATAAATTTTTTTTACTGAAATATATACATGCATGTGTTTGTATTTATATATGCATAATAAATATACACAGCACACACACATAAACGAAGACTTTTATTTTTAATGTGATTAATCGCGATTAATTGATTGACAGCACTATTTTTTATTTATTTTTTTTAATCAAAAGATAACAAAAACCAGACGAAAATGAACACTTTTTTAAGCATTGTTGATGATAATATGACAGAATTTTTTTATTTATTTTTTATTTGATATCAATACACTGACTGTTTTTTTTAAGAAGAGTAAACATCTAGAAGCAATATGTTTGATTTTGAGAAAAACTAAAAACTAGGTTTATAGGAATTTTATAGGACATAATTTATGTAAGGAATAATTGATGACAGGCCATTGAATTATTAGAAAAATAATGCATACCTCGGAGTGGCCATTACACCTTGGGTGTGCGTTATTTTTTTAATAATTCAATGCAGTGCGTCTCTCAGAAGTGTTCGGCAGCAGCGTCTCTACTAATAGTGAAACTTTAAGTAGCTACATTTTCTTCAAGAACAGCGCCGTTGTTACCTCGCTTGTCATGTAGCTTTTAAGTTGCAATGCTATTTTACTGATACAATCGTGAGAGTAGCACTAACAATGTTTCTATGTGTGCAAGTGGTGTACTGTATGTGTGCGCGTGTGCGAGGGAGAGAGAGCGGGAGAAAATAATTGCACACCTTCCAACGTTCGTCAGCCAATCAGATTCAAGCATTCAGCGGCCCTGTGGTATAAATATTAATAAAGGATAAGCTATGACTAGGTTGTGTGCTGAAGAGCCACCGACATCTCACATAATATTTTCTTAAATATAATTTAAATGAATGCAAAACTCAACATTATAATGCGTCTCAAAGATCGAAAAGTCTTTATTCTAACTGTTACGTCTGATCGATTATCTAATGCAGTAACATCTGTGACATTTTTAAATCGTGAAACACTTTGTAGTTAACATAGAATTGTGTTCGGTTTGAAACATTTCTATCTTCATTTATTTGGTCTCAGGTCAAACAAGAAGTGGAGAAACTGCCCAGGAGTCAGAGGAAAGGAAGCATGAAGATCAAAATGAACAACTTCCAGCAGATGAAGGCAGACGAGGTCAGTGAACGTCTTAAAGCTGCAGCGCACTATATATATAATACAAAAAACAAATTCAAAGTTTGTGTCTTTATTCATAAATACTTTTACATTAAGGTGTCCGCATCAAAATAAATGTACAAAAGTGATTATATGTCCATAGAAAGTGTGTTAAAAGTAAGTAAAGTGTCTACTTTTATTGCACCCTCAGATTCCAGATTTACAAATATTGTCCTATCCTAACAAACCATACATCAATGGAAAGCTTATTTATTCAGCTTTCAGATGATGCATAAATCTCAATTTTGAAAAAGGGTCACAATTGGTGTTTAAATTGTGAATGCGCAGAGTCTGTCCTTTTTAGCGTTCTGTTCATTATGCTTTGCAGCACTTTGGGCAACCTTGGTTGTGTAAATGCGCTTTAAATATACCTAAACTAAACTAACTCATCTAAACATATCTATGGCTGTGTGGAAGGTGCGTCTCTGAGCCGTGTCTGTGTGTGCTGTCTCAGGAGCAGGAGCAGATGCAGTGCTACAACCAGCGTATGATCGAGCTCCACAAGGCCCGACAGCAGCAGGAGAAGAACAGGCTGCCCAAGATCCAGCGCAGCGAGGCCAAAACACGCATGGCCATGTTCAAGAAGAGCCTGAGGATCCACTCCAGCGGAAGCTCCGCAGAAGACCGCGAGAAGACCAAGCAGGTAAAGCGCGTCTCCGACGGCCCTACAGTCTGTGTCCTCCTCTCGGAGACCCTTATCTCTCTCTCTGTTCAGTTCTCCAGGCTGGAGGAGAAGAGGCAGAAGGCCGAGCGCATGCACCAGCTGCAGAAACACGAGAACCAGATGAGGGAGAGGATCAGCGAGTGCGAGGGAAACGCCAGAGAGCTGCAGCAGCTGCAGGTGAACTAAACTCTTTCTAATAGACGCTCACACTTGTATACAACACAAAAGATGAGTGGATATCCGTGATTGTGTCAGAATACACGGGATACACTTTGTTACTTTGGTCTTTATTTTTAAGAGAGCTGAATATAATTAGACACGCGGGGCTCTAAACGCTTTTATTTTTATTTAGGAGCACTTTGTGCATGCACTTACAAGTTGCATAAATAACGCTATTGAGATTAATGTTTTAAATATGAAATTTGGAATATATGAAATGATTCCAAAAAATAGAATGATACTTTTAAATATGAAACTCAGATTGCCAGAAGGTGGCGGCAAACCACTGTCCTAATGAGTGAGTCATTTGCTGCGTCCCAATTCGCCGACTTATACTATGCCCTAAAAGTATGTACTCTTTTTGGGAAGAAAAAGTACATACTTTTGAGTATGTAGCAGAATAGAATGCAAGCTTTGGGACATACTACTTTGTCATAACTACGTCTTTAACGGACGCTCTGTTGATTAGTGACATGCATCTTGTCACAGTTTAAACTGCACTGTCAATCATCTTGTCAAAGTTAACATTATCCATATTTTGTTTAATTTAGTTTCCTACCGTACTGGAGAGAAATGAAGATCGTGGGTCTATCATGCAGAGAACTCTGCTCATATGTTTGCATAACCATGCATTTAAAAGTTAATGACCAAATGTATCATTATAAAGTTCACAGCATTGCTGCAGATGAAATATAACGCGGATAACATTAAATAAATATTTTTTCAACAGGTTAGATATTGATTATTTATCACTCAAACAACCCGCTTTCTCTACCTGTCTGTAGGTCTTGCATATCGTCCATGTTGGTAGTTTTTTAACACTTTTCATGCGTGTCTGTAGTTCTAATCGAATCCTCGTACACTGCGCAATGTGTTGTGGGCAATATTAGCCGTTAGTGTGTGCATCCATATGCACTTATAATTTTTACCGGAAGCAGTAAACCATCTGGGTACCTTTGGAATACTCTTTTCAACATACTACAGTTTGGGACATACTAATTCTAATTTCGAATACTATTTAGGACGGATAGAATGCGAATTGGGACGCAGCAATTGACTCGGCAGATATGTCCAAACACGCAAATTAATTCAGTAACAAACCATTTTCATTAGTGAAATAGAGCAAAAAAGACAATATTGTCTCTACGATTTGTCACTTGTCTTAGTGAATTGTTATGTATATATATATATATATATATATAATACAAATAATGCAATTTGACAGATGGTGAGATGGGTATTAAAGTGATAAGTTAGATGCATGATGCAGATGTTTTTTTTTTTTTCATGAAGAAGAATTATTTTAAATATGTGACCCTGCAGCACAAAAGCAGTGTTAAGTCGCTGGGGGATATTTGTAGCAATAGCCAACAATACATTGTATGGGACAAAATTATACATTTCTCTTTTATGCCAAAAATCATTAGGATATTAAGTAAAGATCATGTTCCATGAAGATATTTAGTAAATTTCCTACCATAAATATATCAAAACTTAATGTTTGATTAGTAATATGCATTGCTAAGAACTTCATTTGGACAACTTTAAAGATGATTTTCTCAATATTTAGATTTTTTTGCACCCTCAGATTCCAGATTTTCAAATAGTTGCATCTCAGCCAAATATTGTCCTATCCTAACAATAGGAACAAACAGCATACATCAATAGAGAGCTTATTTATTCAGCTTTCAGATTATTTATAAATCTCAATTTCGAAAAATTGACCCTTATGACTGGTTTTGTGTGCCACGGTCACATATATGAAGTACTTATTTTCTAAAACATGTTTTACTCTAAACCTGCTAGAAAATCAAAGCCATAAATCTATAGAAGTTGTGTTCCAAATTTGAAGTTGATATCACAAAAAAAAAAAAGAGAATTTTGTTTGGCCGCAGTACCGAAATACGTTTGCAGTTTGCTTCCAATGTTTACAAATGATCATACAGTATATCTTTAGAAAGTGAACAGCACATAACAGGCACATACCAGTATAACCATAAATATCTATCAATACAATATACATCACACCACTCAACATGCATCGATATTTTCAAATTCCCTTTCAAATTCAGAAGCCTCTGTCAAACACGTCGTCTCAAACCGTAGAGAAAAGCTGTGTCTGTATCAGTGTGTCACTGTGTGCTGGTCTCCTGCAGAATGAGAAGTGTCACCTGCTGATAGAAAACGAGACGCAGCGTCTGAAGGCTGTGGACGAGCAGCACAACCAGCAGCTGAAGGAGTGGAGGGAGCACCTCAAGCCCAGGAAGAAGGTCTGCGCTTCACCAAATACCACAAAAAATATGTATTTGACTGACAATGTAATTGCATTGAACAAAACAGACAATTAATGAATCGTCAGCACTAAATGCATGATCGTGACAGGCCTATTTAATATCTATTAAACTAATTTATTGCTCAGATCATTCCTCCAGTCTTCAGTGTCACATGATGCTTCAGAAATCATTCTGATTTGCTGACTTGCTGCTTTTCTGATTATTATCAGTGTTGAATGCAGTTGTGCCGCACGATATTTTTGTGGAAACCGTGATGCATTCGATTTTTCAGGATTCACAGATGAGCAGAAAGTTGAAATAGAACAGCGTTCGTTTGAAATAGAATTTTTTTTTGTGACATTATAAATGTCTTTCCTGTCGCTTTTGATCAATTTCATTGCTGGAAAATAAAATGTTTGATATAATAGTTATTTCCCCCATTATTATATTTTTGTTATGTGTTTTTGTAAAGTTTTTTTTATTTTTTTATTCAATACTGTTTTTATCTGTTTATTTATTATGTTACTATTTTTCTTAGTGTGATTTTTGATCAGTTGTATTAAAACCGTTTAGGGTCAGTTTGAGCCACATACATCATCATCATCATCATAATGAATTCCTCATGTAAATATCCCCCGGTTTACATTTCCGAAATCAGGTCATATTGTGGCTGCGGTGTCAGAGTCCCTCAATATTACTTACAGAAGCTTTTTATAAAACTCTATGACCCTCGCACACGGCTGTGATTCATCTGAAACCACAACGAAAACTCTTCCTCGTGTCATATTACTCATGAAAAAGAAAATCAATTTCTCAAAGTCTGCATACGCACAAATCCGCCCTTTCTGAGCTCTGCTGGCCATTCATCACTGCTCAACAAAAACAACCAATATGACTCTGGAACTTAAGCATGTATTCATAACTTCATGTTTTGATGCTGCTTTTTAACCAAATATCAGTATTTAGAAACTTTTGTTTTCAGATGCATCAGTGGCGTAGGCAGAATTGTATTTTTGATCAGGCCTGGGCAAAAGGGACTAACGGACAAGTTGGACTCAATGTTCAGGTCATTTCAATCTTCTTTTCTTTGATCCTGTTGAGGATTGTGACCCTGGAGCACAAAAGCAGTCATAAGTAGCACAGGTATATTTGTACCCATAGCCACATTGTATGGTCAAATGATTTTCTTTTATGCCAAAAATCATTAGGATATTACAGTTTCTCTCAATCGATTTGGCACTTTTCTCTTATGCAATGTACTTGTTCTCAAAACAATTAGCACAGCCATCCAAACAACTTTAGTTCAACTTTAGAAAAATTGCAGTGCTCCATTTTGCAATAGTAATGCATTTATTAAAAGTAAATATTAACTAAATCTATAGGTATGTTCTCTATTGATTATAAAACACATTCAGCTGTAGATGCACAAATATGCTAAAGAAAATACATGTTTATTGCAATTCGTCAACAGGGACTTTTGTTTTACATATATTGTGTATATCTAAACAAAATAAAAAATGTCCCAACATCAACACTTGCTATCACCCATAAGAAAAAAAAACAAAAAACGAATCGCCCCTTTAAACTTAAAATCTGTTTGTGCCACCTTTAGCAGCAAGAACTACAAACAAACTTTCCTGATCACTACAGATGAGTCATACATGCATATATACATACACATAAACATACATACACGCACGCACACACACACGCATACATACATACATACATACACACACACACACACATAAACATACATGCATACACACACACACACACACACACACATTCATGCATACATACACACACACATAAACATACACACACACACACATAAACATACATACACACACACACACACACACATATATGACTTTTTTTAGCAGTATATACACACGTGTGTGTTTGCTGTATACATGAATTATCCTGAATTACTGATCTTTCCTTTCATTTACATCTGGAAGAGAATTTCATTGCATTTTTAAAAGTAAGAAGGTTGAATCCACGCTTGAAAAGCTCCCCAGGCCTCACAGGCTGGTGATGTTGTTCTGGACCACCAACAATGCTCCTATTCCATTCAAAATAATCTTGATTGTCCACCTGAATGATCTCAAACTGAAATTCTGAAAAATGTTTGGACATTTACAGTAAGTAACAGTACAGATTCTTAGTCCTCCTGGGACAACTTCTATCACTATTGCAACGAAACTGAGTGTTAGGCCCATTTCTGTCACCTCCTTGGTCAGTTGCCTCTACGCTGGGACCCTGTTGTTCCCTTTAGAAATGTGTGATCCCCTTGTAGCAGGATCCCATTTCAGGTCCCATTTGCGATCTATCTGCTCCCCGGACATGGCTGTGCTCCCCTCACTGCAGGAGGGTCCCCTTGAGCTCGCCGGTCCTGGGCCGACTGGGTGAGTCCTCCTCTCGACTTGAGAATTAGCTCCTCTGACCCTGGGCTATTGATCGCTTCGGTCGAGCTGGGTTCCTCTTTCTCCTCACTAGGGGTTGAACCCTCCACTCTTGAGCTCCGTGGCAGTGACATCAGATAGTTGGGCCGCTTGCTGCCTCCCTGATAAGCTTTCCAACTTACGTATCTCTGTTGATACATTTCTGAGCAGGGTGTTGCTACTAAAGATCTGTCGAGTCAGTTCTTTGGGCAGGTTTATTTAGAACCGGCGGTAGCCACCCTGGGTGGCAGGCCAGGGTCAGGGTATTCCCCTAAAGGAATCTCTTTATTCTGATTCCAAGCCTTGAGCTCTACCCTAGGCTTGGGCTTCCTAGCCCAGCCCTTAACAGATAAGTTCTTTAGAGTATGTAGCTCAGGCCCTTGGCCGAAGGGGATAATGTCACTGACAGCCATCAAGACGTCCTTTGGGGCAACTCCCATGGTTATGGTAGAGTTGGTACTTAGTGCTCACCGTAGTTTCTGCCATGCACTCCCTTCAGCATGGTGGCGTGGGTATACCGTTCTCCATAGCGACCCTAGAGGACGCAGTTGGAAGTTCCCTCGGAAGGGAACGTCTCAGGTTACATATGTAACCATGGTTCCCTGAGAAGGGAACGAGACACCGTGTCCTCTAGCTCCCTTACCATGCTTCGGACATAAGCTTCAGACGAAGCGGATGATGTGTTCTCCCGGTGCCCTTTTACACTGTGGTCGCGCCGGGTGATGACGTCACGGGCTGTCGCTGACCAATGTAATTGTCGGATTTAGATGCATGCTTCAGACACCGGTCACGCTGAAGGCGTTCCCCATAGCGACTCCTAGAGGACGCAGTGTCTCGTTCTCTTCTCAGGGAACCATGGTTACATACATAACCAGAGACATTTCCTTTAAATGGAGCCATAACATTGTAAAAACAGTTCACTAGTTTACAAATCACATTAAATTATATTCAATAACATTTAATAAACCAAAGATGTAAGGTACTCCTTTTTCTGCCTTCATTAAACACTTCGTAAGTCTTGTTACCTACATGTAAAATTGTATCATCCGAACATCACAGAAAAATAATGGGAAAGTTATCTTGGTTTTCCATTTGAAAATATGGAGGTCCAAGTAAACACATCAACTTAAGACAATGCAGACTAAAGTTTAGCTACATCATTTGATATTACTAATTATAGTAACTGAGTAACTAACCTTTCTAAAGACTAGAGACTGTAGTCTATATATTAATCGCCATTATTTTAGCATTTCATTCCCACTTGTTGATACTGCAAGAAATATATCTGTATATCATTTTGAGGGAAAACATACATCTATAAAACACAAATAATGTGTTCAGCTCTCCTTTATTGCTTACTTTTAGGAAAGTGGTCTCTTGCAAGGTGAACAACATTTGGGGGAGTTTGAAACCCCTGCCTTCCGAACTTCAGTTATATTTCTTTCTGTTTTGGCATTAAAAATTATGTTTCCATAAATTCTATAAGGAAATAAATTAACCAGAAACCTCAAGAAAGACAATTGTACAAATGGCGGACAAAAAAGTGTACTGCTGATAACTCTCACTTACAGTTTAATACCAATATAAATGGAATTGCTCAAAATAATCATAATAAAAACATTTTGACTATTTGAAATGTTTATTTGATTTACATTAAGACAAAGTTGAAAGTCAAACTTGAAATACTAAGGACAAAACATCACAGAAATGCTTAAACGATACAAACAAACAGGTTACCCATGTCACCTTGCCTTTGTTCCTTTTTCATCTGGTTTGAGTCTCAACATATTTTGTTTCATACTTGCAGCATTTACCCTCTTCTCTCTATTATACTACTTCTTTTTTTTTCTCAGTCATTTTCTTGCAAAAACTTCTCAACTTCAGAAACACCTTCCATTATCCTTTCCAAACTCAGGCACTTGCATTTGTTGTACATTATTTCATAGATGGAGTGCTTTTATGAATGCATTTCATAGCAACTAGGAGCTGATGACCATAGAGCAAAATGAGCATATTTTCAGTGCTCCTGGTATTGTCAGGTCAGACTGGGCGCCTATTTAACACTGTTTTTCTGATAAATGAATGGAAAATAAAACTAAAAAAAAGACAAGAAATATTTCAGTAACATAATAAACCACATTTTCAAATGTAGTGTTAAAAATAAACACGTTTATCAAATGTATGCTTGAAACCAGTCAAGCATGAATGTTAAAACATTTGACAATGTTTGTAAAATATCTAAGCACCTTTGTCAGTGATATGAAAATACTTTGTTTGGGCAATACTGACATATAAAATAATGACGATATCATGGCTGTTCTGAGGTATTCTGTTATTCACTAATGTAGGATTGGTACTGCAAAAGGGGCTGCTTTTTAAAATAAATGTTTGCTAGAACATTTATGTGACAGAAATTATCTGTGAAAGTGAAACTAGAAATGGGTGCCACTGTTCTGTAAACCTTAAGGCCATGTGTTTGTTTCCGGTTTCTCCTCGTTCTGCACTTTCCCTTTACTCATCAGTTCCGCAGTGCAGACTTCTACGCAAAGTCTATTAAAAAAGTGCAGACTGAAACAACAACAAAGTAGATAAATAACCAACATGATTTGTAGAGTCTTGTAGTGTTAGAACAAGAAAGCAGAACAATTTTTGTAAACTAAAAGCTTCAAAATGG